ATCACCCCTCGACCAAAAGGGGGTACGAATACTTCTGAATGCTTTGCGTTGACCTTTGTCATCTTGATCTCCCTGCATGATAGATAGGTAGATAGATAGATAGATACATAAACAGATAAACAGATAGATAGATGGATAAATAGATAGATACGTAGACAGACAGATAGATAGATAGATTGATTGATTGATTGACCGATCGTTTTTACCTGCTTGTGAAGCTTTCTGCCTGCATGTGTCTATCATGGAGGAAATCTTGCACCAGTTTGAGCAGACCATTAACGCGAGCATCCCGCACAGCCTGCTTGACATTGATGTTCAATCCAGGGAAAGGCGGTGGACTCCACTGACAACATCTTGCACCAGCCACATGGCATACGATCATCAATGTTGAATAGAGTAGGGGGTTCGAGGTCCTGGTGATGGGCGCTGTCATGAGCGCACACGTGGGCGGTGCAAGATTTCCTCCATCCACCTATGCACCCATATGTATATATATATATATATATGTTTATACACATTCTATAAATAAATACACGTGCAGAGGCTTGCATGTATGCACGTCTGCATGTATTCGCGTAGGTCGTAGCTGTCTCTTATACGTGTTTTTCGGCCAAGATGCACTGCTCTGGAGAAGCTTGCGGCAGTCTCATTGTATGCTGGCACCGGAAACATCACCCGATCCACGGCATACCCACCGCGATGTGCCCCATTCACCAAAGCTGCCGTCGCCATGGCGGATTCTCAAACTCAAAAGCCTATATGCTAGCGTGGGGGCAAAGAACTTCGGGCTTGCATGGAGGGGCGGTTCTTGTTCATGTTGATTCGTTGCTGGCTTGGGTGTCTCTTCTGATCCCACATAGAAATTACCCCGGTGGTCGTTCTCACGCTTCAATGGCCCAAACTGTTGAAATTGCCATGTGGCTAAAGCCTGGAAAGTGGAGCCCGTGCAGCAACAACAAGCCGGGACTACAGAGAAACTTGCCAGCTCAGGCTTTGCGCCGGGCGGGGCCTACACCCCGAAAGTGTTAAGGCTCTGCGGGTTTGCACTCAGACGCAATCTTGGGCTGGCATCGGCTCGCCACTCCAGAAGCCGAGCAGCTTCAACTTGTAGTTGCCCCCGTCCTGCACAACCGCACCGTGCTTCCCAGTTGCATACTCGTCTTTCCTAAGGTTAGGGTTCTACCAGGGTACTAGGCCGGGTGCCAAAGGCTCCAAGGTTCAAGCCGGATCTGCCAGTAGTCAAGGCGTGGCACTTTCAAGACTCACCCACATCTACGCGCTGCCAAGGCGCGAGCCACGAGTACAGCCGCACCGACAAAATCCTAGACCCTAAAGCTTGAAACCACAAAAAATGGTTAGAAAAGTCTCGACAGGTGCCTCCGCTGTGCCTCCGGCACTGCTCTGGCCCAGGAGGTTGCTGAGGAACTTGTTCCTGAGCTTCGCATATAAGCTCCACATACCGGCTATCATCTTATAATGTGTGCATTTATACAGATACAGACAGACAGACAAACAGACGGACAGACAGACAGACAGATAGGTAGAGAGATAGATAGACAGATAGACAGATAGATAGACAGGTACATATAGATACATAGGTAGATAAATAGATAGGTCGATAGATTGGTTGGTAGACAGATAAATGGATAGATGGATAGACAGATATAGACTGCCGAATACTATATACATACATCCATGTACCATATGTCATAAGCCCTATATTCCATATAGTCGCATCATATATCATGTCACATAACTATATATTCATACATATGATACGGTAGACGAATATTTCTGTGTGTTTGCATCGGGCCCATTGTCACACGGATGACTAAGAACTTCCTGTAAACATTTTCAACTGCAGGCTGAAGGTGCTTGGGAGATGCCTTCAAGTCTGGATGCACAGGTCCAAACTAGTCTTGCAAACCGTTCCTCTCTTGACGACGTGACGAGAACTGGCACAGGCTGCCATGAACTGCTCAACAGAAGGCCTTAGAGCTTCTTCAACACGAAACCACTGGCTTCTTGCAAGGAGGAGACACTACGTCTTCCTAATGGCCGCTTCAAGTTGAATCGTCCGCACGAAACGAAGGCTTGTGAAATTGTGGCTTGGGATGGAGAAAACCAGCTTGTCGCAACTTGTCATCAGACCGACCAAGGCTCAGGACACACACCGAATCGGTGCAGATGTTCGGTCCTGACCAGGCCGGTGGGACTTGCAAAGAGGTGCATCGGCCTCACACAAAAAACCCTGAGCCCGCCTTTGATGACAAGCACCTCCTCTCCTCTGCGGCCACTGGGTGTGTAGCTGACCTGCCGCATGTTCACTTGGGACTTCGCTCTACCTCCTGGATTGTTAAGTACTGTCGGGTAAGATTGAATGCTTCACCGGACGAAGCAGCACCAAGGGCCCATCTGTTCCTGTCGAGTAAGGACACTACCATTACTGCAGTCGTTGGAACTCTGGACCTAGGCTCTCAGAGCGAACCCACATGTAGTACAACCCCGTTTGAGCTTCCCACTCGCAAGCAGTGAGGCATTCGAGTATTTGAGCAAGGGACCACGCACCCCCTAGCGTGTGCAATTCCAGTTTAGCTTGCGTGTAGCATGGGTCTCAGAAGGTCACACTCCTTGCTGCTGGCCCGATGTGCTTCAATGCCAAGTGAATCGTGAACCGGAATCTAACCACAGTCTTGTAGAAACATGTCCTAGGTCCTAGCACCGATGTGGAGTTGTGGATTTTAGATACCCTGAGCCCCCATCACTCCATCTTGCAATCTGTTGTTTCCCCTGCGCGCCACGAACACAAACTTCATAAAAACAGATGCATCGCACATGGCTCATAGGCGTGTGTAGCCGTAAAACCTTCGCACCCTCGAGCAACCTATACGACCAAGTCGATCTAAGTAGCTTCATGAAGCTTTGAAACTCTTCTAACCTGCAGGTCAGTAATCGTGCCGTAAGTGTACCCTTACCCGCCTTGCCTCGGTGTAGAGGCCGTGGAGGCGGATGGTGGGTAGGATTAATCCTCGGACCAAGGCTGGGTTTCATAGACGCAGCAACATGGCCGGCCGGAGCCAGCCTCCGGACATGCAGTGCTGCATGCACATGCTGAGATGTTTGACCCTGACCTGTCTAGACTAGTTCGCCAATTAAGCTCGCTTGTCGCTCGCGCGTCGGCATGGGCCGTAAGACTTTGATGGTGCCGGTGAACCCCTCGGTCCCTCAACGACTCTCCTGGCACGGTGCAGACATGATACCCGTCTGATACTCGATCATGGAGGACCTCGTGGCGGCAGAACAGAAGTCAAATGAGCAACACTTGGAAAAGCTCTCGCTGGTAGTGCCGAGATTGAGCCAGGGTAGATAGCGGCGCCAACTGGGGTCTGCGTAGCGATGTGGTTGAAAAGACTATACGACTGTGAGAGGCAACAGCGCAGATCCTTGAAGCGCCCACTGAAATGCGGTTGTAGCGGCAAGAAGGGGTTATAGCAAGTGAAGAAGTGATGTGGGTCGGTTGCCAGGCTGTCGAACTGCTCGAACCTGACACAGCTAGCGAGCCAAACAACAACCGAAAGGGTGGGGTAGGCTACTGGTAGGCTTGTCCCAAATTTTTACCGTTACATGCGAGTTGCAGAATCCCCCTTACGCTCCGTAACCTCTCGTGGCGCACCACTGACTCATGACTCATGAGACAGGCGTCCATTTGTCGCGGCCACTCTCGTCTACAGACAAGAGGAGAGGCTCGCCCAAGTACGCCAGCAGCGGGCGATTGAAGGGCAACAGAAGCAAGCAAAGCCTCAATGCAAAGCTTTGCTAAGAAGTCGAGTTGGAGTGGCTACACATGCCTGCATTGTGTAAAGCTGGAGCTCCCTCGAAACTCTCTAACTCGGGATCACCAAGCAACCGATGCAACCCAAATCCGAAAACCTGATACCGAAAGCGGAGAAGCACAGCCGGAGAAGTGCAAACTGCAATGTCCACCGCCCGGCTCAGCGAATGCTGGCGGAAGCGTTCTTGGAATTCTGACAGTAGTCCTGTGCAAGTATTGGGGTCATCCACAAGTCAGCGCACGCACGTGACAACAAACCCATGGCACACCTGCGTCCGGTGCTAAGCATTTTTCCCCTTCTCTGCAAGCCTTCCCACAACCAAATTGACAGAAGCTGCAAACCCTTAGAAACAAAGAGTCTAGGTAAGCCCAACTCTCACAGATACTAGCTCCCAACAGACCCTACAGCATGGCCCCACCTGGCAAGTCAATAATGTCAAGCGCGGTCCAGCGTGGGCGAAAGTGCTTTTGACCCAGCCTGGTCTTTTCAGTATCCAAAATTTCCTACCATTCCTTCGCAAACACCATCAGCACTCACCTCTACGATCGTCTTACCACTCCGACTGTTGACATCATTGACATCCCCCAAACCCGGTCCCAACCCTACTTACTACAGTAACATGATATCACGGTCCAGCCATTTCCAGTGTTCGGAGGCGTAGGACCCGTTACATTTTACTTTCCGTGGTTTTCGCTCTTCCGTGTGCGATTCCGAAGGAGACCAGTTAGAGCCGCACTAGCGCGGATTTACATGTCGATATGGTGGTTTCCGAAAATAGGGGACCCTAATACAGTACCCCAAGTAGTAGGATCCTTATGATAAGGGCCCCAAAATAGGGTACCCCTTATTATCGGAAACTCCCATATCGATATGAAGCCTTTTACACTGAAGCACTGGAACCGGAAAGCCTGCAGTCAAACTTGCGGCCACAGGTCTCTCGCAGACCGACAGGCTGGAAGCCGACCTTCAAAAACGAGATCGTCCGATTTGCAGCTGCCAATAGTGATTCAATAGTGATGATCAACATCAGTACTATGCTGGCGATGTTGATGATGATGACTATGCTGACGATGATGGTAAGCCCCTGGTAGAAGCGCTACGAAAGTCTTCTCGCACCCTGTGCAACCCATGCATAGCACCCAAAAAACACACCAAAAGGAAGACCCGCCGGGGCGGACCCCCATCATCTCGCGCAGACCGAGGGAGGGCAGCAGGGGCTCGACCTCCTGAGATGAGCGTTTTGGCGTTCACTCGGACAATCCGGGCGAGGCGGTTCGGGATCTGCTTTCAAGTAAAGCACAAAGCGAGTTCAAGACCGCCACAGCAACAGGCATCCTTCCATGTCGTGGCTTTGCAGAACTAGTCTCGGGACTATTGACCATTGGTCTCAAAGCCGAATCGAGTCTGACTCATGGCGACACCGAGCCCACATGCCAAACTCTGGACCAAACGCCGTGTGACACATCCCATCTGCTGCAGGTCGGGAATGACAAGCTGTCGGAGTAAACTGTGAAACGCTGGCTCTCCCGGCCTCTCTGTTTTCTGCAGGGTGACAGCCCAGGAAACCTCAGAACTCCGGGCCAAAGGCCACGATGCTAGGCCGTAGAAACTTCCGGAGGTAGTGCTGCTCACAATCTCCGCGTGGGTTTTAGGCGCTGCCATCTCGCAGTAGATCGCTGAAAGCGCGATAAATAAAGCTGCCTACATGCACAACCAAGGGTGGTTTGGCCGAAGTCTCCTGGGCCATTGGCACAAGCCTCCCGAAAGCTTCACAACCTCAAACTGCAACAAAGCGCCGCAATGTGTGTCGTCAGCGACTTCCATGACGGCCTAAGTCAAACAAGGCAAGAATAGAGGTGTGTGTCTGTGTGTGTGTGCAGGATCCTGACATTTAGTTCGTCCACCTGGAGGCTACAGCGCGTCATGAATTTAACTCCGGTGGTTCTGGCCTTCACGGAGCACGGTTTCGAGAAACTCTCTGAACATTTTATACCGTTCACAACCAACACAACAATCACAGAACAAAATTGGTCTCACAATTTATGGAATGACGCCCTGAATATTGGATCATACTATCTCATTGGAATGTCTTGTGCATTCCTTGCATTCCTTGCCAGCGCGTTTCGTCTTCATGACCTATGCGCTCGATGTCCCCACGGCGTCTTCACGAGCGGGAGTTCGCCGAGTTCAAGATATGCGTCTACATTACGTTACATTGCATTACATTGCTCTGTTACTTTATGGCAAATAGTTTTACATCACAGTATATCAGCTCATACCATGTCATAGTGTGTTATACTGTCATACTACATATACTACACTCACTATACTATTTTTCTGTTATATAATGTATCAAAATATTACAATTTGTTATGTTATACTATAGTATAGTATTGTATTGTATTGTATACTGTAGTATACTACATTATGCTATATTGCATCTTCATGTTGCATTTTGCTGTACTGTATTGGAATACATCGTGTTGCACTGTATTGCATGAGGTTGTGATGTGTTGTATCGCATTACATCGTATCATGTCATGTTGTTCTGTCTTAATTTGAGTTGTGCTATACTGTTATACATTGAACCGGGTTCTCTTCGAAGCTGGATGTGGATGATCTCTTCAAACTCGAGCTGCCTATGATTCGGGTGCCACAAATATTAGAATAGGGTTTGGGGGTATAGTCGGGATACTACTGTATGACTATATAGGAAAGGGACACCGTACAATCAGTATTCGGTGGGAGAGTCCCTAGCCTTCGAAACCGAGAGTTTATAGGTTGTAGGTTTATGAGTGGGCTTTCCAGGATCTTTCCTCCCACCCTAGGCCGCGCTGCAGGGAAAACACTCCAGAAGGTCCGAAACCTGGGATGCAACATCCCGCCCCTCCGTCCGAGAACCAGAACCTCGAGGAATGCGCTTGAATTGAGAACGACCAGCCCGAACAGGAAAACCCACCCCGAAGGATCACCTGCGCGTGCTTTCTAGGGTTTCGACTCGCACATTCGCACGGGGCAGGCACGACTTCAGGCGACACGTCCAACTAGGCTCAACTGTGGAGTTTCGACTCACACATCGGATCCAAGCCAAGTCCACACAGCCTGCTGCTCGACATGTCTCGGTTCCTTGTTGAAACAGCAAACATAGGAAAAATACAAAGTAAAGATGTGAGAATCAAAAGACAAGGCACACCAACATACACGGCACGACGAAACACCGGGCTCACTCCTAGGGGTTTTTCCCCTCTCGCATGGCTGAAATCTATGCCCACAAGCTCACAAGGACCAAAGGCATGGTCGCAAGAAGTCGTAGCCGAGGATGTCCGAAATGATTCTCTCTACTTTGGAAGCACCAGAAGGCCCGGAAGCTCAGATCAGAAACACGATCGAATCAGGCAAGCCAGGACACTTCTTCAAGTAACACCTTGTTTACATTATCTGACAACGGTACCCCAACCCCTGAAACCCTGCAATTCAAGGCAGCTGTCTGCAGGAGAAGTTGCAGCCATCCCAATGCCCAGAAGGCTCGATGCGAAACGAGTGAGCATCTCCTGATCTTCCGCAGCAACGCACGAGGCCCAGCACTGTCTTTGCGGCTTCGTAGTATAACATGACATAAATTATCATGAACGATATGATGCCTGACACAAAAGTTCTACGTATAACATAACATGATACAACGTAGTATAACAGGATATGGGATAGCTTACCATAATGTAACAAAATATGCCATGATGTGATATAAAGCAGTCCTGCAACGTAATACGGCATGATATGTGGTTTGGGGGTCAGGAGTTTATTGCCCTTTTCTCTCTCTGCAGCTGGTATGTGGACCGTTCCGAAAAACCTCGCTGGAGAGTTAGAGAGGCGGAGACCAGCGATTCCCTCCAACACGGATCCGGTTTTAAGCCCAGTCGCTGCTGGCTCGCGGGCAAGGGCCGCATGCGTGCCAGTGATGTACGCGACCAAGGAAGTCCTGGATGTGGAGTCTGACATGCATTTTGGGGCTTGGTCGTTGGGGCTTCGACTGACTAGTCGCTGCATGGTTGTGCACCACAGAAGCAGCTTTAAAAAAGACTGGTCAAGCCCGTGTGTGCCTTGTGATCTGATATGATATGGACACCAAAAGAGACCGAATCCTTCAACTTGAGCCCTGAACTCCGGGCCCGTGCACGTCGCTGCTCTTGGCGAGCGCCGCGGCAGCAGAGCCGAAGTTGGGCAGCAGCCATGGAACGAACCTGCGGTTATTTGGCCAGATTCCATCCAGGGACTGCATTGACTGCATATATCAGGATTGCAGAAGGCGTAAAGAAAGCTCTTGTAGTTGATAATTACAAGTCGACGCAAGCGACGACAAAGGTTGCGGAGCGCTGGCTGTCGCAAAAGGTGCTAGCCAGCTAGATTCGCAATCCAGGGCAAACGTCTGACACTCAAAACCCCTGACCATCGTGCAACGGAAACATGCTGTGGCCGCCTTATGCTCGGGCCTCGAGGAAACAGTAAGAAAACAAAAACGATCGAGAGTTCGGGAACAACCATGCTACGGTCTCCGCTATTAGCAGTAGCAATAGCATTAGCAGCAGGAGCAGCAGCAGCGGCAGTGCAGTATCAGTAGCGGGAGTAGCTGCAGTAGCAGCAGCGGCAGTAGCAGCAGCAGCAGCAGCAGCAGCAGCCGTAGCATTAGCAGTAGAAATCGGAGTAGAAGTAGTAGCAGTAGTAGCAGTAGTAGCAGTAGTAGCAGTAGTAGTAGTAGTAGTAGTAGTAGTAGTGGTGGTAGTAGTAGTAGTCGTCGTTGTCGTTGTCGTGGTAGTGAAAGTGG